TGTCCCCTCCCCACCACCAAGCCTTCCTCTGCCGGTCCCAACCGCCTCCTTCTTATTCTTCCTGTTCTTCTTCATCATCATCATCAACTTCTTTTCTTCTTCTTCTTCTTCTTTTTTATTATTATTATTATTACACTTACACTGGCCCCTTCGATGACGTTTCTCGCGTTTTCTCGTTTTAGATACGACGGTTGATAGAAGTAGGAAGAGAGTGATGATTGGTCGATGGAATTTAACGATTATAAGTTAAGTTTGTTTGTTTGTTTGTTTGTTTGTTTGTTTTTTAAATTTGTTGCTTCTCCTCTCCGTGGTTACGAGTTGCATCCTCGGGTGGGAGATAATTAATGCGAAGGAATAATTAGTTGCCATGTTCAGTGTCTAGTTTTAGAATATTTAGAATCCAAGTAATGATAAAAAATTTTCTCGCTGATAATAAATATCTTCTTCTTCTTCTTCTTCCTTATTTTATTTTTGATGTTCGTTACAGTCTCGTGGATGATGTTTTCCTCGTGTTTTACTACTTTTTTTTTAATAGAGAGGAAATTGGATGAGATGGAAGAAGAAAGAGGGTGATGACTGGTTGATAGAATTTAATGGTCGGTCCGTTTTTTCTTCCTCTTTTTTCTTTCTTTTCTTTTTTTCCTTATCTTTTCTTCGAGCAAGAATAATTGAATACATCACAAAATTTTCCAAATGTTTAATTTATATACATCTTACATTATTACACGACTGCTCGTACTTTCGTAATTTTTAATCGCGAAAAATTAAATAATTAATTACAAAATAGATAAGTCATATTATCACTTTCTTCCGAGGTATTCGTCATAATTTCAACGAGCAAGAAATGAAACGAGAAAGAAAAATAAGGGAAACAAAGAGGGGGGAAAGTCGTCCATTCTTTATCAAGCGAAATCAAACAACGTGTTCGAGTCGCCAAAATTCGCCATCCCAAACAATAGGTTGTTCATTTTCTTGGGCAGTTGCGCGTGTCTGTCGGAAACTTGGCGCGTAAAATAGAATTAACTCGTAAATCTGGGGGCCCGGTGGCGTGACCCGGAAGCGGCCATCCACTTCGTATAATTCAGATGCCTATTACGCGAACGGTCGTTAAACACCTTCCTATCATAACGCATCTAACGCTCGAGATAGGTGTGATCCTCGCGAGATATCGCCGACGCCTTCAGACCCGCCTCGCCCAGCTCTTTCTTTCTTCTCGATTTTCCAACCGAGCAAGGAACAAAGGCAAAAACGTGCGACCAAACGAACGAATCGGCCGCTTTTTGCCCTCCGGCTCGATCCTCGTGTGTGTCGTGATTCTCCCGGCTGAATCGTGGGACTCGTTAAACCGTGCCTTCGTCCAGGTTAATTATCCTTCCAGGCCTCGTGTGTTTATCCTTGGAGATTTTCTTGCCCGCTCGGGGGAAAAAGAGGAAGGAACGCCCACTGGGATGACTAGATTATCCGCATCCTCGTCTATATCGGGAGACACGAACTGTGTGTCGATTTTTCTCCTCTCTCGCAGCGAGGAGAGAACTTTGCACCCACTTCTTGCAAAACTCCGTACAAGATTCATTCGATGTATTCCAATCGAATTTCTATCATATAGCTTATGTAAAATGTCTCTCGACGAGATATATATTTTTTTCTCTGACAAATTTGGTCGAAAAGATTGGCCGCCGTGTTAAATTTCAGAAGAACAAGTGGAGAAAAAGAAAAATATTTCAAAGATTCGAAGAAAACGGATCGAGATCAGTTAGCTTCGTCAAAGATTTTTAGGCCAATTGATAATAATTCTTAATTCGGGTACAACAGGTTGGTTTTTGCGTTAGTGCGATCGAGGTTACAAAATTTCTCGCTAGGACCTCTCTCTAGTCTCTCTAGTCACGCGTAGGCGTGAATCCGTATAAGGCCAGAGAGAAACACGTCCGTCCAATCACGATTTTGAATTCCTCGCGCTTACCCAACAGACTTGTTATTCCCATTGAATGACCTTTTAAACTAACATTATTGGTGTAACATCCCGTTAACGTTATCTGAACGACAATAGAGACGAACAATTTCTCTAGCTCTTCTTCTCCAGCATTTTACGACTACTATTTTTTTTTTTTTTTTTTTTTTTTTTAAGGATCCTCGACTTCTTTATCAGTGGTAGGTAGTTAAGCGAGACCGATAGATGGCGCTCGGTTCGATGATCTTTCGTCATGATCGAGTCGATTCTAACTGCGAGCGATTCGTGAAGAATGAGAGGAGGAGGGGTTTCTGGTAATGAGTCGAGTTTTCTCGAAGGAAGGAAAAAGAAAAAGTTCCCACGGATCGCGGAGAACTGCGGAAGAGGGACGGTGCAGCACTTTCGAGAGCACGTGCAAGCTTCGAGTTAAAGCCGATTCCACACATGGCCGAGGCGTTTCGTGGTTCCTCCGTTTTCAGATGCGTGTTCCTTCGTTATGCAAGCGCGACTGTTAGACATCTGTTTGACGTGTTTGTTAGGCCGCTGCATTTTGGAGGGGAGGGCAGCCTTCGAAGACGAGACGAAGACTTTGATCGTGAATATCTCATGAAATTGGTGTTGTTTCCGAGAAAAGATAATTTTTCGGGAAAAGATTTTGAGGTCTTTTTGTTGAGGTTATTTTGAGATAGAGATATCCAAAAAAAAAAAAAAAAGAATGTTGATACATGGAGAGTAATTATAATTGAAATAATTTTCTAGGTAATGGAATAGTCAATGTTTTTTACAATGAACAGTTTCAAGATACAAAATAGAAACTCGTTCCATATATTTTCGGTAATAATACTTGTCGAAGGTGAAGAAAACGTTAATCTTTCCTCGCTAGAAGGAATGCAGTCAATCTGCATTCTGTTTGACTCGATTGGTTCAGCGGGAGTCCATTGCCGCCAACTGCTTTGAATAATTAACCGAACACCGTCGATTCTCCTATTGGCCTCACTCGAGAAAACAATAAAAAGAAGGAAATGAATAATTCCTTATTCACGAATTCTCGAAAATAAGGAGGAGAGAAAAAAACCTTTGTTTCAAAAAAGATTAAAATCCACAGCCTTGAAATAATTTTTTCAAGAAGCATAGCATGGAACAGCATGCGTCAATGGACAAAAATCAATGTCGATAATTCACTCGTTGGATCGTATCTATGAAAAATCTGGTTAAAAATAGCAACGACGAGTTTGATCCGTAATAATAATAATTTTCTCGATATCCTCTATTTTTTTTTTTCATTTTTCACGTATTGATATCATTTTTAATGCAAAGTAAAAAGAAAAAAAAAAAAAGAAGACAAAGAAAAGACCGTGACGGACACGTGCGACGCGACGGCGCGCCTCGCACGGCGATAAACGAAACGATTTTATGTAAATTCTAATCGTCCAACAACAGTGATATCATTCGACTGATTCACTGGTGATCACGTTGATCGGGCTAATGCATTTAAGTGCGAGGCAACCGACGGCCTGTACTATTAATCGTCCGGTAATCGAATCGCTCAATTGACTCGATTTTCCTTTGAACGCCGGATCGTCTATTGTGCACCGCCTCCTCTTCCTCGGGTTCATCGAAGGTGCGCCACGCGATTTATCCCGTCACGATGATATAATAACCGTATTATTACTTCGATTTTCGAGGATCCGTGCATTTCTTCGTTTCTTTTTCTTTTTTTTCTTTTTTTTAATTCTTCTCGTACATTAAAAGCGTTATATTGTTCCTTGTTTCCTTGAAATGGTCATGAAAGGATTAACCGAGCGACACGTGTATCGTTATTCCGACATTTAAGAAACGCGTTCCTTTTTTTTCAAATGTCTCTTTTAAGTTTTATATTTTATCGTTTCGCTCGAAGTTATACACCGATTAAATCAGTGATATAGAATGTAAAATGGAAATGAAACGGTTCTGTGATTCTTATTATTTTGAAAGAGAAACAACGAAGGCAAATTTCGATGATTCTTCGAAACGAAGAATTCTTCACTGTGAAACGTCAATAATTATTGTGAGTAAAAATATCATTTTCTTTATCAATTTCCCAATTTTTATACTGATTTTCCAAATAACTAAAAAGAAAAAGAAAATCTACTTTCGTTTAACGTATCCAAAAACAGATCAAAAATATTCATCGACATTTTAATTTCACTGTTACAAAAACTACGAAAGAAAAGCTTATGCACCAATATCATTCGATTGCAAAACTATTCCCAAAAACTGTTCTTTCCGCACGCTACCAATTCGTTCGAAGTGAAAATAAAAAATAGAAAAGAAAGAGAGAGAGAGAGAGAAAAGACGTGTCTCTACTATAGGTAGCAGCACGATCTCGATCACGCTCGATCCCGATCACCGCCGATCCACGCCGTCTCTCCTTCCTGTCCCGTCTCCCTTTCCTCGACGTCTTCTTCGTCTTCTTCCTCTCGGACATCGTGTCATTCTTCACCGCCAGGGGCGTCAGTGTCGCCGGTGGACTCGGAAGAAGGAGGGGAAATCAGAGGGCCGTGTGTGTCTTCGCCGTGTGTGTTTCTATCCGGTGCCCCTCGAGACTCTTCAGTGCTTCGCGGGCCTTCGTGGCGAGCGGGTTTCAATAATTTCGGTTTCGACTCGATTCCCTCGTACATTCCACCTCTCTCTCTCTTTTTTCTTTTCTCCATTTCCAGATTCCTCAAAATCCCCCCTCAATCACGATCGATCGAATTCGTTTTCCGGCCGTTCGTTATTGAAAATTATTATCCATCGTTATTGCGGGTCGTAATTCGTGGAACACGTGTCGAACGATCGAGTAAAAGAAAAAAATCGGTTTATTATCGGTCCTCGATTGGATACGGTATCGTGTAGTACGATAGCATCGTCGAAGATGGGAAGAAACTCTTGCTAACTGTTTTAATTTTAATTTAAATTTTAATAAAAAGAAGTGTTAATAAAAGTTCTCGTTTCGATTATTATTTGTATAAAGAAAGAAGTGCGGATAAAAATAAATAATTATTAATAGTAAAAAAAAAAAACAAAAAAGAACGAGTGTTGAACGAAAGTTGTTCGGTGGTTCGCGACGGTTCACTGTGATAATCGGGAGCACGATCGAATTTCTCTGAAGTGAAAAAAAAGAAGAAAGACGTGTGATCTGAAAAATGTTCAATGTGTTCAAAAAGAAGAAGAAGAAGAAGAAGAGAGAGAAAATTAAGTGAATCGAAGTGAGAAGAGATCTACAGTGCGTCGAAGAAGTGGAGGAACACGGGGGAATGGAGGTTAGGGGTGTCGACAGGGGAGAAAAATACGAATCCTTCGAAACGGTACGATGCATGCACGTACTCATATATGGTAGAGATCCAGCAGCGAGGTATAGAGTTCCTACGTAGTGTTCAGAAAGTAGGAACTTCATACCGTGCTCTTGGACTTGCCGAAAGATCGTCGAATTTTGTGTGTGTATATATATAAAATATATATATATATATACATATATATATATATTTACATATATAGATATATATTATACGTATAAATGTAACTGTACGTGGTGCGGGAAGTGATCGAGACGAGGCGATGCTTGATGTTGGGGATCGATGATGGAAAAGTACCAGCGGACGCAGTCAGAGAAGGCACCGATAAGCACCGGGGATTTATCAGCGATCGCTCGGCCAGACGACCAACTCCAGGATGCTGATTTTGTCGAAGTAAGTCACGTTTTCGAAAAACCTCAACTTTTCCCGCGAACGAATCGGCTCACCTTGATTGGAAGTCGCGTTGCGATTTCCTTCCAATTAATCCTTCCGAACAGTTCTTGGAACCGAGTTCTGAAGAATCGATGTTCGTTGAATTTATTATTTTTCTTCTTTTTTGCTCTTAATGAGAATTGAAGCGTAGTAAAAAGAGGATAGTTGATGGATAGTTGATTGGAGATTTACGTTGAAACGATTACGTGAATTTAATATTTGTTGTATATACGTGTCTGGTTGAATATAGTTGAGTAAAATGATTGAGCTGTGCTGTGTTTAATATCGGTGGTAAAAGAAGTTTCGAAATCGATGAAATAAATGTGAAAAATTTAAATTGAGAGATATAATAAGAATTCGACCATCTCAATTTGATTTATTATTTTTAAATGAGCGAAACGATCGGTTTAAAAAATGAAACTAACCCGTGAACGTTGATACGTGATTGATAAAATTGACAGAAAGAATAATTTAGAGAGATCGAAGTGACACTGATCGTTGATTTTTTTTGAAAGTCTTGGTACAGTACTCGACAGTTCGATAATCTAGAGAACTCGCTTAGTCTTCGCGCTAATCGAATAATCTAAAATCTTGTTTTGAAAACGGATATCTCGAAGAGATTTGCATTAAAAATAAAGCGTCTCGAGAGAAAGACTCGTGCAAATACGATTTGAAGAAAAGAGAAGGAGAAAAAAAATTGGAATCGGTATCGGTGGAATATGTATGTCTAAAAATAGTGATGCTGAAGTTTCTCGGTTAGCAACCGCATACGCGAATCCGAGTTTCGTTCCAACGAGAGGATAACGAACCTTTTTTCTTTCTTTTTTTTTATTTCCCAATTTTTCAAATAATAATAATGCAATTTTTTTTTTTTTTCGTTCTTCTTCATCGAAAACGAATAAGAATCATTGGATTGATCGGATGAATATGAATACGAGCCGAAAGTAGACTCGGATTATTTTCGTCGAGTCGTTCGATAGTGCTTCGAAGGTGTGAGAAATTCAAAGATGAAACCGTCACGATTAATAATTACCGATTAATTATCGATTCGTCGCGTCACCTGACTGTGCACCATATGACCCACCACTTTTACGCGAGCACCACGAAATCGAAGCATTTTGCGCATCGAGCCGATCGTTTCATTAACCGATTTATTTAACGCAGGAATAAAAAGAACGAATCGTCTAAATTATATACGTTTTGCAAAATATATTTATATTTATATTAGTCAACGATTCTCGGTCATTTATTCGGGAATTGATCGTATAAACGTAGTATTGCGGATAAAAAAAAATATCGGAACTATTTTTTCTCTTTTCTTTCTTGTTTTTTTTTTTTTTTTTTTTTTTGAAACTATTAAGTAGGTAGTATGGATTTAA